AGGCTGAGGCAGGCTGAGGCTGAGGCTGAGGCAGGCTGATGCTGAGGCAGGCTGAGGCTGAGGCTGAGGCTGATGCAGGCCGAGGCTGAGGCAGGCTGAGGCTGAGGCCGAGGCTGAAGGCAGACTGAGGCTGAGGCTGAAGCAGGCTGAGGCTGAGGCGAGGCAGGCTGAGGCTGAGGCTGAGGCAGGCTGATGCTGAGGCAGGCTGAGGCTGAGGCTGAGGCTGATGCAGGCTGAGGCTGAGGGCTGAGGCTGAGGCCGAGGCTGAAGGCAGACTGATGCTGAGGCTGAAGCAGGCTGAGGCTGAGGCTGAGGCAGGCTGAGGCTGAGGCTGAGGCAGGCTGAGGCTGAGGCTGAGGCTGATGCAGGCTGAGGCTGAAGCAGGCCGAGGCTGAGGCCGAGGCTGAAGGCAGACTGAGGCTGAGGCTGAAGGCTGAGGCTGAGGCTGAGGCTGAGGCTGAGGCTGAGGCTGAGGCTGGCTGATGCTGAGGCAGGCTGAGGCTGAGGCTGAGGCAGGCTCAGGCTGAGGCAGGCTGAGGCTGAGGCCGAGGCTGAAGGCAGACTGAGGCTGAGGCTGAAGCAGGCTGAGGCTGAGGCTGAGGCAGGCTGAGGCTGAGGCTGAGGCAGGCTGATGCTGAGCCAGGCTGAGGCTGAGGCTGAGGCTCATGCAGGCTGAGGCTGAGGCGAGGCGAGGCCGAGGCTGAAGGCAGACTGAGGCTGAGGCTGAAGCAGGCTGAGGCTGAGGCTGAGGCAGGCTGAGGCTGAGGCTGAGGCAGGCTGATGCTGAGGCAGGCTGAGGCTGAGGCTGAGGCTGATGCAGGCTGAGGCTGAGGCAGGCTGAGGCTGAGGCCGAGGCTGAAGGCAGACTGAGGCTGAGGCTGAAGCAGGCTGAGGCTGAGGCTGAGGCAGGCTGAGGCTGAGGCTGAGGAGGCTGATGCTGAGGCAGGCTGAGGCTGAGGCTGAGGCTGATGCAGGCTGAGGCTGAGGCAGGCTGAGGCTGAGGCCGAGGCTGCAGGCAGACTGAGGCTGATGCAGGAGCAGGCTGAGGCTGAGGCTGAGGCAGGCTGAAGCTGAGGCTGAGGCTGATGCTGCAGGCAGGCTGAGGCTGAGGCTAATGCAGGCCACTGCGACTGTCATCGCGAATGCGACTACGACTGCGAGAACAGCAGAACTCTACAACTGGATTCTCATCTGAATCTTAAGGGGGATGCTTCCAGATATGCTCCTACACATCGCTGTTAGGTTGCTTTGCCGGGATAATTCGAGCTGCGTCTGGCCGTGGCGGCAAGGGAACCCCCTAGAGGCCCGAAATACTCGAACTTCGATCCTCGATGTTCGAGGCCCGAACTTCCGCGCGAGCTATACGGCACCCCCAGCGCGGTGCCTGACGATTCCGGCGTCCAAGCACGGCGAGAAAGATGGCGTCGGCGGCGGCGGCGACGGCGACCACCGCGACGACGATGACGACGACGACGACCGCACGTGTGCCGGCGTGGACGGGCGAAGGACCCTCCCCGCCAGCAGTGGGCGAGTCAAGCGCGCAAACGGAAGGTTCCCTGGGTCACAAAACGCGTGAGACGTGTGCCGACACGGAAGGAGCTCTTACATTGGAGCTGCGCCGCTGGGTCCGTGAGGGGTGTGCCGAAATGGGGCGGCGCCACCATGCTGACGGCGCCACTGGGACCTTGGGTGGAGCTGCCTACGTGAGGCCACGACACGTGTGAAGGGTGTGCCAAAATGGGGCGGCGACGCTATGCGGACGGCGCCACTGGGACTTTGGGTGGAGCTGCCTACGTGGGGCCACGAAACGTATGAAGGGTGTGCCACAATGGGTGTCTATGATGGTGACGATGGCGGCGATGATGATGGTGATGACGATGATGGCGATGATGATGACGATGGTGGTGATAATGACGGCCATGCTGATGACGCTGATGATGATGGCGATGACGATGACGATGACAATGGCGATGACTGATGATGATGATGATGATGATGATGATGATGATGATGATGATGATGATGTTGACGATGATGATGAAGATGATGATGATGATGATGATGATGATGATGATGATGATGCAGATGATGATGATGATGATGATGATGATGATGATGATGATGATGATGATGATGATGATAATGAACATGCAAATCAATATGATGATACTGTTAATGATGACACCGATGATGAAGATGAATATGATGATGACGAAGACGCTGCTGATGATTATGATGATGATGAGGACGTTGACGAGGATGCTGATGATGACGATGATGGTGCTGCTGATGATGCTGATGATGATGCTGATTCTGATGATGATGATGACGATGATGATGATGATGATGATGATAATGATGACCGTGGTGATGATGATGATGATGATGATGGTGATGATGATGATGATGATGATGATGATGATGATGATCGTGATGCTTCTGCTGATGATGATGATGCTGATGATGACCATCATGCTGCTGCTGACGATGATGAGGATGACGATTCTGTTGATGCTGATGATGATGTTGATGACGATGACGATGACGATGACGATGATGATGATGATGATGATCATGATGACGATGATGATGATCATGATGACGATGATGATGATGATGATGATGATGATGACGATGATGACGTTGATGTTGATGCTGATGCTGATTGTGATGCTGCTGCTTATGATGATGCTGATGTTTATGATGCTGCTGCTGCTGATGATGATGTTGACGATGCTGATAATGATGATCACGATCATGACCATGATTCTGATTATGATTATGATGATGATTCTGGTGATGATGATGATCATGATGATGATGATGCTGCTGCTGCTGATGCTGATGCTGATGCTGATGCTGCTGCTGCTGATGATGATGATGATGCTGATGATGATGATGATGATGATGATGATGATGATGATGATGATGATGATGATGATGATGATGATGATTATGATGGCTGAGGGAGGAGGGGTAGGAAATTCTTCACGCTTCGCGTATCCCCACCAGCCCATCTCAAAACAGCAACTCTTGCGAAACATGAGGCCTCGTGGTGCCTCCTGGGGACCTCTTGTGGGCCATCTGGGGAACTCTAGGGGCCATCTGGTGGACCTCTGGGGGCCATCGTGGGGGGCTTGTATGAGCGCTGCCCGTCCTCCTGGTGTGACTCGTTCGGGCTCCTCGTGGTGTGAGTCGTTCGAGGCCCGCGTCGTGGTGTGAGTCGTTCGGGCTCTTCATGGTGTGAGTCGTTCGGGCGGCTCGTCCTGGTGTGAGTCGTTCGGGCCCCTCCTTGTGGTGTGAGTCGTTCGGGCTCTTCGTGGTGTGAGTCGTTCGGGCCCCTCGTCCTGGTGTGAGTCGTTCGGGCTCCTCGTGGGGCCTCTTGGGGGCCTCTTGGAGCCTCTTGGGGGCCTCTTGGGGGCCTCTTGGGGGCCTCTTGGGGGCCTCTTGGGGGCCTCTTGGGGGCCTCTTGGGGGCCTCTTGGGGGCCTCTTGGGGGGGGGCCTCTTGGGGGCCTCTTGGGGGCCTCTTGGGAGCCTCTTGGGAGCCTCCTGGGGGCCTCTTGGGGCCATCTTGGGGCCTCTTGCGACCTCCTCAGAAGCGCAAAGGAGCGCTGCCCCCTGAAAAGGACAAAATGAGCCCAAAACCTTCGTAAAATGAATGATTTTGCTATGAAGGAAGATGAGCGCGGCCCCCTCAGGAGGCCAAAATGGGGCCAAAACCGTGGTAAAATCAATGTTTTTGGCTTCAAAGAAGAGCTGAGGGGCCAAACTCGGCCCCCCCGTCGGGGCCAGAATCCTCGTGAGGGTCGTCGTTTTTTAGCCCTCCCAGGAGTCGAAAAAGACTCCCCTGGCGACGCCCCGGGGTCCCTCTCCAGGCCCAGGGGGAGGGGGTAGGGGGAGGGGTAAACCCCTCCCCGAAGGGGAAGAAGGGGGGTTGAGGACAGAGCGGGCTCTCTAAACCACTCACGCCCAAAGGGCTGGTGGGATTTGAGGAAGGAGAGGGGGAGGAGGAGAGCAGAGGAGAGGAGAGGAGAGGAGAGGAGAGGAGAGGCGAGGAAGAGAGGAGAGGAGAGGAGAGGAGAGGAGAGCAGAGGAAGAAGGAGGCGCGGGGCGCCGTCTCTTCAGAATGAGGACTCAACACCACAGGGTGGTTGGGCGAAAAGGAGAGAGAGAGAGAGAGAGAGAGAGTGAGAGATGGAGAGTGGGGGTGAACCATGTTGTCGCCGCCGTAAGCGTCGGGTGGTGCGTCGCTGGGGGATGGGGGGTGCAGGGTGTTGAATGCTGGGTGTGCAGGGTGTTGAGTGTTCGTGCATGCGACCGTATCCAGCTGCGCTGTCGCGCATACCCGCCACCGCGCTAGGGGTGGCGGATATGCGGTATTGCCAATCTAACCCCAATCTTGACTAGCGAAGCTTCCTGGCGGCAGTTTGTCCGCACAGCGAAGCTGTCAGCATAGCGCCGCGCAGCCCAATTGCATTGTATATGTAGTAGCTTTTTTTCCCCGAATCCTGTGTCCTAGGCACCTCCGGGTGTATGACTTCTTGCTTGCTTGCTTGCTTGCGCTATGGGTGGGGGTTGGGCTGGGGGAGGGGGTTGGAGGGGGCAGTTCAGTGAGGCCGATGTGAGGAGCAGGGGGTCGATCCCATGAAAAACACAGCAGCCCCAGAGCACCGTCACAAGACGGGGGTCGCACCGCATGCGTGGCTGCAGATGCAGTGCTCGAACCCGCGCGTGCACGGGCGCTGTAGCATCTCCTGGTGAGCGCGATCAGTGGCGTGCCCCCGCCAATCTGAGTGCTCAGCTACTTGGACCTCGGGTTTTCAGAGCCAGAATCGGTGGGAGAGAGCCAGTCACCACGTTGAGAGAGTGCGTTCCGCATTTGTGTCCGAGGCGTTATCCTTAGAGGCGGGCGTCGATTGCATGAATAGCTCGTTGAAATGACTGTGCGCGGGCCCTGGTCCATGCGCAGCGCGAAAGACCATAATGAAGACAGCCAGAGGATGTGCCTGGCACGCCGCCTCTCGAGTGGGTCGTCTGCCTTGCCGACGAGCGAAGCAACCTCATCCAGGACCGAGGCTCGGCAGTGGCGTCTGCACACGGTGCTCCTCTGGTGCGTCCTTCTGCTGTGCAGGAAAGGATGTGGAGGCCGCGGACGAGTCGGATGCGTGTGTGGATGCCGGGGAGGGTATGTACAAGGGGAGGAGGAGGATGGGGAGGCGAAGCACCAGGAGGTGCAGGAGGAGGCAGTGGATGAGGAACATCACTTTCTCGCTGTATTTATTGGGCGTAGTGTGTATAGCGTAGTGGACGTGCCATCTAAGCTCTCAGTCCAAGACAGGTCCGAATCGAGGGTACAGGTCAACCCCTCGCTAGCCAGCCCCACCACGGCCCCAAACGGGCCCCTAGATGGTCAACTATTCGTCCACGCCTTGAGGCATTCATCACTTGATTTGCGAATTCTGCCATTTCCCCCCGCAGAGGGTGGGACCCTCGGGATAACATGTTTTGGCGATTTCTGGCATCTCTCTCTCTCTCTCTCTTTTTTTTTTCTCTCTCTCTCTCTCTCTTTTCTATATATATATATATATTGTAGTCGCCTCCAGCCTTTGCCGCCGATCCAGGGCGCTTCAGTGAGAGAGAGAGAGAGAGAGCGAGAGAGAAAGCGAGAGAGGGAGGGAGAGCGAGAGAGAGAGACACACATTTATTAAGAGGGAGCGACAGAGAGAGAGAGAGAGAGAGAGAAAGACAGAGAGAGAGAGAGGGTGACCATTATACGACGCACGTAAGTATATATGTATATTTGTTTGTATATATATATATAGGGAGAGATGCAGAGGGAGGGATATAGAGAAACAAAGATATATAGAGAGAGAGAGAGAGAGAGAGAGAGGGAGAGGGAGAGACAGAGAGAGAGAGGGTAGAGGAAGGATACGGGAGGAGGGAGGGCATGAGGCGAGATGAGTCATGAGGAGTAGCAGGAGGAATAGGAATCTTACTGTGATGATGGTGATGACGCTGCTGCTGATGATGATGAGGATGAGGATGAGGCTGATGATGATGATGATGATGATGATGATGATGATGATGATGATGATGATGACGGTGATGGTGATGGTGATGGTGATGGTGATGGTGATGATGGTGATGATGGTGATGATGGTGATGATGATGATGCTGATGCTGATGCTGATGCTGATGCTGATGCTGATAATGATTATGATGATGATGATGGTGATGATGATGATGATGACGATGATGATGATGATGATGATGATGATGATGATGATGATGATGATGATGATGATGATGATGATGATGATGAGGAGGAATAGGATGAGGTAGATGCTGCGGAGGAGAAGAAGGTGGACGAGGGGGTATTGGGGAGTAGAAGAGACAGGACGAGATGGAGGATGATGAGGGCGAGCTGAAGCAAGTGGGTGGTGACGGAACGCGTTCCCACTGGGCTTCGGTGAACACGCTACGTGGGCACAGGAGGATGACGAGGAGGGAACGGATGTGGAGGAGGATAATGTAGGAGGAAAGACGACGATGACGAAGGAATACCTTTGCTGGGCTGTCGCTCTGGGAGCCTGTTCGAAGCTTCTTGAACGTTGGGGCATTTTGGGGGCGGCGGAGTGCTCCTGGAGGTCTCTTCGAGACCTTTTGGGGATTTTCTGGGCTTTCTTGGAGCCCTTCCGGGGACCATCGCTCACCTGAGGGGGCGGCCAACTTTGTGGAGGTCCGTCAGTGCGCTCGTCCTCGAGCTCTACGGGGGCCCTGTTGTTGCGCTCTTGGGCGTTTTTGGAGCTTGAGAGGGGGAGGAGGAAACATACTCACACCATTCGGAATGCGAATGGTTAAAGTGGCATTGCCACTGTATTTATCGATTAGAAAAGTATTTTTAATCATGCAATTGATCACCGCCTCAATGATAATACGATTACTGACTAACACTGATTATGTATACTATATCGTAAGCCGTTAAGACTATTACGTGTCCGCGCTGTACCATTAGCAACATTAGTAGTAGTAGTATAAACACCCTTAGTATTGTTCAGTCATGGTGAGAAGACGAGTTGGAAAAGGGGGGGCAGGGTTTGGGCCACGACGCTGGCCAAGCTGGGACGTCGGCTGGGCCAGGGCCAGGGCGATCGCCGAGACCAGGCTGGGGCCTGGCTGGGTTGGGGCGGGGCCGGGCCGTGTCGGAACCCTGGGAAAGCGGCTGGGCTAAAGCCGGCCAGGCTTGAGCTGGGTCGGCATGCTGCGGGCAGAATGCTGGGCCAGGGCTGGGCTGGTGCTTGGATGGTGCTGGTTTCTGGGCTCGGCCAGGCACGGCGTCAGCCTGGCTGGGGCCAGGGCGATCGCTGGGGCCAGGGTGGGGCCTGGCTGGGGATATGCCATGGCCAGGCTTTGGCCGGGGCTGGGGCTGTGCGAGTTTGGTGGGGTTGTGCAGTGTTCCCGGGTTTGTGGGGGTTCTAGTTGGGTCCTGATGGATTTAGGGGGTTCTCAGGGCTTCGTGTGGGTCTGGGGAGATTCCAGAGGGGGCTCCAATGGGGGAGGTTGAGGGGGATTCTGAAAGAGTCGGGCGTGGGATTCCGCGGGAGCTTCGGGAGAGTTCTGGTGCGTTACGACTGGAGGGTCCGTGTGTCGGACGGAGTTCCCCGAGGAATCCACGAAGTTCCAGGGAAGGGTCCTGAGGGTTGGGGGGGCCCCGCGGATTGTGGCCCCTTCCCCTTCCCCAACCCTGGCAGAACCACCCTGGCACTCACCTTCCCAGCGGTGGTCCCTTCCAACCCTGGTAGGGAGTCTGGACAACGCCCACCCTTTTTCTCCCCCCATACCCTGGTAGAGCCACACCAGCACTTGTGTGTGTGTGTGTGTGTGTGAAGACCGCTCATATCACGTTTCTATCCATCTATCCTGCTGCCCTGTCGGCTCAGGTATTGGACATCTGGACAGTCCTACATGATAGGACTCGCGCCGCTCGCCCGCGGCGCATGGGAGAAGGGTTCTCTTCTCTCTTCCCAATCGTCTTCTACCCGCGGACCACGCGGTAGGTTCGACTCTTTGGTTGTCAACCTCCGTACGCAGGTTATCAGCCTATTCTATTTCGCTCTCCGTTGCGACACCCCGCGCCGCCTTTAAGCTTGCCGCGTGGCGCTGGACCCCGCGGGGACCAGTGCCTCTTTGCGTGTTGGCTCTTCGACGGTGCGCGGGCGTCGCGACGCCGCGGAGAGGGCAGTGGGACAGAGCCTGATCTGATACCGCAATCCCCCCTCCCAGGAAAAGGCAGCGCGGGCGCTCCATTTGAAGCGGAACTTGAAGCAGTCATGGATTCCTTCCCGCCTTCTGCGCCGGCGCACTCTTTTGCGCCAGGGCTTGAACCTAGCGCGCAGTCGACCATTCCGTCGCCTGGCGCCACCATTAGTTCAGAACTTTCGCCGGTGGGAACACCCGCGGAAACGCTCGGGTCACCACTGGATTCGCCTCACCTCCTCCACCAACCTTCGCCGGCGGGAACGCCCACGGTGGTGGCGCCAATGAAGCGTCTCTGCAGAGCGCTTCCGCGCGACGCCGCCGCCAGGGCGCCCGACGTCCCGCGAGCCCCACAGCGGTCCCTGTGCCAGAAGACGCGCGAGTTATTGAGGATCGCGCTGGACGGACCGCGCAGCGAAGAGTTTCTGATCGGTATCGTCTCCAGTCTCAAATAGGGGCGCCAGCTGCAGCCCCTCCCAGAGGCGCTCACGGCAGAGCTCCTTGCGGCGCGACATCGCGCCACGAGCATCGTTTTCCGCAAGTGATTTCGCAGAGATCAGAGACCAGGTTGAAACTTGCGCGACTCAAGAGTTGCGGGTCTTGCCGCGCAGACAGCAGTCTTGAGACAAGAGCTCAATGATGCTCTTGTCCTAGTCGGCGGTCAGATCGCCGAGGATCGATCGGTCCTCGCCCAGGTCCAGAATCAAGTCGATCGTGTGGAGTCACGCCGAGGCGCCGACTCCACTGCGACCCAGACGCTGCGTGACTACCTCCTTGCAGTAGAGTCCCAACCTCGTGGGCGTCGTGGATGCGGGCGCTGCTGCTGTCAGGGCACTGCGCGATGAGCTCCTGACAGTGCGGCAGGTTCCAGCTACTGAGGTACAGGGGCTTGCGGATCAACAGCTCCGTGACGACCTCGCTGCGCTTCGTGGTCAGGTTGAGGTGGCCGCTGCCGACCTCCACTCCGAAAATGCCGCGGCCGCGTCCGAATTGCACGGCGAGATTCGCAATGCTGAGATGCCTATTGCTCAGCGTCTTCATGCGCCGGAGGGGCGCGTGCCAGCGCTCGAGAACCGGGTCTCCGCGGTCGACCCGCAGTTGCCTGGCGTGCTGGCTGCGCTGGCTGAGTTGCATGTAGTGCGGGCCCAGACTGCCCAGCTGGGCGCCCCGACTTCGGTTTGCGATTTCGCCCCCCGTCGCTGCCGAGCTGGCCATGGTAAGGAAGGCGGCGGGCCGCGTGCAGTTACGACTCGCCCATCGCTCCCAGGAAAGGGGCGCTGGAAAGGCATGGGCGGAGGAAGTCCTCGCCCGTGTGGGACTTGAGCGCGAAGAGAGCATCGGCTTGGCTGGTGCGCCCAGCGAATTCATGGCACCAGCGACAGTTACGTGGTCTACGGCAGAGCGTCGAGCAGTTGCAGAACGATCTCGCGCCCGCAGAAGCCATCATGCAGGCTCACGTTGGCGACGCCCGGATCCATTGCCCTTCGCGGCCCCAGAGACCACCGCCGACAGTGCCCCGACCCTCGCCGATGGAGACGCCCGCGCAGGACAACCGCGACGCGCGCCGCCAGGAGCTGCCTCTGCAGCAGCCTCAACGCAGACGCGTCGTGTATCTCGTGTGCGTGCACCATCGCCGACGCCACCAATCCCGTCGCGGAATCAATCTCAGTATTTTCTTGGTGGCACCAGCCAGATCGAGGACTCAGATGCTGTGCGCATCCCTCAACTGCCACGCATTGCGCAGTTGCAAGAGTGGCAACGTATGGTCAGGGATAATTCCGACAGCGCTTCAGGACGTCTTGCCAAGGCATG